GCAAGGGGTGATTGAGAAAGACAGGTTTGGTTATATATCGGTCCTGCATGCCCATGTTGTGTTATTTGTGCTAAGTGTCATCAGTGAACACCGAAAACCATAGTTAATTTTAAGCGAATGGGAAAAGTCATGTCAAGTACACTGATTATCGTGTTACTTTTTCATTTTTGTTTGTATATTATTCTGAATTTGGCCAAGGTTTGGATAATCTTATTGTTATATTCAGATTATTCGCATTTTTAAAATTGCTACAACCTCTGAATTTTGACGGAAATGTTATGATAAAATTCGATTTAGCCAAGGCACTTATGTCAAGTTTGGCAAAAAGTTACCAAGTACATTTTGTTTAAAAAATTAATTTTGTCTATTATCAGTTCTTTCTTTCAAATGTTACGACCTTGAACTTATTTTGTTTCATAAATTAAAGGATCGTCTTTAATAACAATATTTAAAATGCATAAAATTTTCGACTTGTTTTATTTACAGATATTTACTGTCTCTTTTCTGTTTAATTTTAATTTATATTAATTTAGAACACAAAATATTACATTATTTTTGTCAAAATTTTAATTCTGTAAATGATTTACTTTGACAATAATAAACGCATAAACTTAATAAATAAACATAAACTTCGTTCAAAACTTGCAAAAGTTATTCTTTTTTCCCCTAGTTCAACTCGAACCCTTCATCTCCTGCTTTCTGTCCTGCCGTCTTACCTACTGAGCCACTGACTCAACTTAACTTCTACAGATCGTAGGACCCTCTTATCGCAGTTAAAATTACTCATTTGGTATTTTTTTGTAAAAGGTAATTTGCTGGGACCTAGAAGCGCCAGGTTTTGAACCCAAGTCTTGCTGGGACCGAGTCGCGCGTGCTATCCACTCTCCTAAGTGTTCCCGCCCACCCACCCCTGGTAGACTTTCCTTTTATAGTAACTAAGGGGAATTCTTAAAAGCACTTCTGGAAAAGATTTTAATACATTCAAGTACCCGAATCGCGCCCCCACCCTTAGAGTTCCGCCGAGCCAATGAAAACACTAAGTCATTTTGCATACAATTGTAAAGTATTTTATTTGGACCAAAATAAACTGCCACTGATGTATTCTCAATTTTTTCAAACATCTACTTGTTTAAGATTTTTAAAAAATATTTTAACACAATAAGTATTGAACATTCAGATATGTAAAACAAAAATATTGATATCTGCATTAATTTAAGACTCGCACAAGTTTGATTCAATAAATAAACTAACTAATGAACTACTTGACTTAATGTTTGATCTTATTATAAAATTAAACAAATTATTTGAGATAAAAAGTGACAATCAAGTGTTCTAATATCGTGTTTCAGAAAACGACAAAGCTGTCTCACCTTACACTACCGCAGGAAAGAAATCGAATGAAACTCACTCTGATATCATATAATTTTAAAAGTCACAGGATATGGCATTTTCTACACTAAATACTACATAAAATTCCGACATTTATTGCTTGGAAGGAAAAAACAATTTTTACTATATTTTGCAAAAAAATTGTCACAAGCCGTTTGTGAAATAAAATTCAACATTTAACAGCAACTGATACGTTCAAATACATTACAAAAGATACATTTCAATGGGAAATGTGAAAAAACAATCCCCTAAAGACACTGATTATTAAAAAAAGCATTTTAGCAATTGCAACATGCGTAATCATATGACCTAGGCAAAATGGAGGGACAAATCATGATATTACTTACACCACCTTGCATTTATTTTTAAGTCCAAAAATTTGTTACAAATGGTTTGCATCTTTCTGAACATAAATAATGTTCTCGTGCGAGAACATAAACATTATTTCTGCATCTTCCGTGGATATACTGAAAATACTGCCGAGATAGAATTGTTAAAAAGCAGCAGAGTTTTGAAAATGGGAAACTTTGGATCACATGACTGTTCCCTTTATTTTTATGCAAAAGTTCAATCTGTTCAACAAAGTAATGCCACAAATGCAAGTGATAATTGACAAATAATTACAAAAAAAAATTCATATACTATTCACCATAATTTTTAAAAATCAGTAACATCAAGATTACAATCCAGATGAACAAATTAAGATAACAAAATCGTTTAAAATCCATGTTCCTTTTATGCACAGTTTCACAGGTAGACTTGGATCAGCCAAATCAGTTTGCAACTACATGTAATTTTCGCAAATTGAGTCTAAAATGTGTGAACTTTATATACTTCATTACTCAAACAAAATGATTTATTGTGGTCCGTAAAAATGACACTTTTCACTCAACAAGACAGCAAGTTTTCAAGCTTCAAAAGATTATACAGATACGAATTTTAAGGAACTAGATTTGAGCTACCCCTGCTATGGAGATAAAGTCTTTAGAATTTCACACGTGGTCATCGAATTACAGTAATTTGGAACCAAAAACGGGTTTTTCAGATAGTAGTTTCTAAAACAGCTTTTGGACAAGGTAAACCTAAAATTGCAGAAATTTACAGATTTCTTTTGGTTTATCAAAGAAGATAAAAATATGAAATTTTCTAGTCTTTTGATAGAATTTTCTCAACTTAGCATTACACAATAAAAAAATGGACCAAGTAGACCACGTATTATTTGTAAGATCAATAACTTAAAACAGCTTCAAAATAATTTATTTCTCTTTTGAGCATTTTACAGGACATGAAAAATTATAAGTAACATAAATCACCAAATGTGCAAAATTACAAGAACAGAGTTTGCAAGGTAGCTTTTTTTCGTCTTTTGATGAAAAGGTCAAATTGAGCTTCATTTGCGAGTTTTCCTGGACTAGAAAAAGTTTTCCATATTTTTGAGCATTATATTTGCATTGAAATAAACGTCAAGTCACAACTTGCTGCCTTGCTGAAGAATGCCGCAAAAAGTTTTACAAACGTCTCGGAGGCAGACTCAGACTTATAATAATAGCAAATCATGTTTAAAGACATAAGGGACGGTTTTATTCTTTGGTGAAATTATATATAACAAGTTTTGTTACTAATGACTATGCAGTGTTAAATATGCTGCTTTTTTATTATTTTTTACAAATTTTTTTAAACAAAATTTAGAGGTAAAAAATCATGGTAAGTTGTTTTGGAAGACAATAATGAGAAATACCAAAATTACCCTCTAGCAATGCGCCCCCTATGCCTTGAAAATGACTGCTTTCATTATGAGTCACGCAGAAAGAAGTGTAACTATGAACTAGGTCACATACCTCAATGGATCAAAATATTACATATTATGGCATTACTTGTGAAATCATACCAAAATTACAAACGGGAGTATATCACTAAACCTTTATCCTGTACTTTAATTTGAAATGATGACTATTTTGCTGTACTATAATTATGAGATATAATTACTCACTAAATTTCAACATCCAAAATTTTCAAAGAGCCATTCCACATAATTTCCCCATCTTGACTATCTCGCATGTAAAACTTTACTGCCATTAGTAATTCTACCGATGTAGTTAAAATTTTGTGTAGTTAACACGAGGCACAAGTGCAATTTTCACTGTCACGAAGTAGGCGACGAAATAAAGGAGGCATGGAGGACAAACAATATCAAGTAGGGAAAATATTGGTGGATGACAAAACACAGTGTTCAACATGCAGGCATCAAACCCATTTTTAAAATGCATCAAGTTTCCGACAAATACCTAAAACCATCGTCGAGAACGTTCCGTTGAATCCGTTAAAACTGAAATATCCATAAACTTAGTATCCCGACCGCCTGGCATCTACACCCTGGTCACTCAAAACTGAAGGAGAAGTGACATCTCTTCTAGGAGTTCAGATTTCAAATGATCCATCGGGGTAGGAGGCAGGAAGATGTAGGTGACCGCTGTATCTCTTCATTAATTACCATAATTAAACAGACAAAATTTGATTAACAATGGACTAAAATATTAATGCTTAGGAAGATTTTGTTTCCCGCATATTTCAAAATACAGCAGATTAAATTGATTAATTTAAGCTTTAGAACCTTACACACCCCAAAGTAAAATGGCATTATGTAGGTCACTTGGCCATATCCTTATATGGTCAACTGCATGCTGCAATCTGAACAGTTTTTGCCAAGGTTGACAAACCAAACCGTCCTATAGCGCCATCTGGAAGGAAACAGAAATGATCTTCTCTGCTGCAATCGGTACCTTAGCAGATTGTTTTACTGTGTGTGTGTGTGTGCGTTATCTTCAACGCCACAGAAATGGCAATAGTAATGCAATTCGAACTGGCATATATATACATATAAAATAAAAGTTATTTATGAAAATAACACCACCAGAACATGTTATCTACAAACTGTACGGACATCATATCTGCTTGCGGTCACCTGTCATTTAGTTAGTGCTAAAAGATCTGCGGGTGGTTTTAGTTAACACCTAATCCGTTTATAAGGCCTGATGGTGGAGAAAACCGCCATAAGGTTGGTCAGTGATTCGTTTACTGATGAAATAAAGAGCCGAGGTAAATGATTACATGTACAAAAGATTCAACGTTAAGCAGCACTTCTTTTCAATTTTCTAAATACAAAGCCTTTATTAGAGCAAAATCTGTACACTAGCTGCACACATGATCGTTTTGAGAAAAGAATCACGTTCTTTTAAAAAATGTGCCCCAATTGGCCTCCATGCATACGTCACGTAAAAGTTAACGAACACTCGAACACATTCCTACTTGGCGATTTGCCTGCTTTTTGCTGTTATTGCAGCCTTCAGTTTACCAATTGTTTCAGGATTGTTTTGTTTCCTTGTGATATTCTCACAGATTAAAATCTGGGGGAAATCACAACAGGCTAGGAAGCTTTGGGTTCTTCTTTTCTTTATTTGTTTGGGGGGGGGGGGTCACTCTGTACTTTGTAGCTACATTCATAAGTCAGATTGAAGGCGTAACCGTAGTCTTGTAAAAAAAAGAAATCATCGCCACACATTTACCTAGGTGTTTAAGATAAGATTAGTTAAGAATTTATTCAGCCAATTGAAATATAAGAATCGAAAATCATTTTGATTGACATGAATGTGTTACGCATTTGTTGAACCAAAACGACTCAATGTAAGCCATAGTGCACTTAAACAGGTGTTCGGCACATCTGTAAACGAAAGGTAAATGTTACAGTCAGCTATTGTAATATATAATAAAATATCATATCAAATAATTTTATTAATCTTTGTGCCTCAACGTTTGCACGAAATAAATGCTGTATTGTTAGTAACCTATTAAATTGTCTATCTAACATTTCCTGAAATTCATCAACATTCTAAGGGGAAGTATTAAGACAAAATTGACAATATAAAAAAACGGTACTTTCTGAAAAAACTGTTTTAATTTTAAATGTTACTTTCTATATATAAAGTAGATGTACGAGGTATTTCAAATGTATAACTACATAATACTGGCCTATCCTTTGCGTTAACATACATGTATTACTGAGGTTATTGATCTTCTTTTTTCCAGACCCAAATACCCATTAATTCATTCAACGTACGGGCATGTCTCATGACATGTCGTTTACGCAGTGTATGCATCTCAAGCTAAGCGCACACATGCTATATAAACTGCACATAAACATTATGTAACAATGCAGTTGGTCTCCTCACTGTTTGCCCCATTTATTGGTTTTGATTTGACAATATCTATATATGCAACAATCATGTCATAACCGAAATCCTGTGGATTGCGAGTAACATCCTCTTCAAACTGGCCAAATAAAGCGTTCACAATGGCTACCTTTTCCTTTTCTGATCGGCATCCATTCAGCCCGGACATGAAGACGGCTTCGGCCCATGCTCGGAACACGTTAACATACCTTCTTGCTTTGCGGGCCACACTAAGTTGTTCATCATCTGTGACTAAAATAGATTAAACGAAAACTATTCTCCACTAAAATAAATTTTCTGCTTCAGTATTTTGTTTAATACAGACTTGACATTAAAATGGAATATTTCAGTTTAAGAGGTATGCCTAGGGATAAAGTTTTTGCTAAAAAAAAGTTATCTCATATGAAATTCATGGTTAGAAAAATGAGCAAAATTAACATAAATTATGCTAATTAGGTACTAAAATATAATATTTTTATCCCTTTTTGCATATGAAACGTGTAGATTATAATACCTGAATAAATTAGTGACAAGGAACCCCTTTTTGACATCATGGAAACAATTCGTGGTCATTCTGTGAGCCTTAAATCCAAGATGGCCGCCATCCTCCATTTTGAAAATGGACGAATTTTTTTATGATTTTTTAATCGTTTGACCTACATTTACGTGTAAAATATCTATTCCTATTTTTGGGGATTTAAAAGTTTTTTAATATTGTTTTAATGATAGAAGGTGATTTGAAGGGATAAAGAGTGTTTTTTAAGTGACTTCCAAGATAAATGTCTGTGAAAGCTGCAAAACCATGGATATTGAACCCCTATTCAAATATATATAAGTAAAATTTGTTGCTGTTAACCATCCATACCTGACTAAATCATGGACAAGAAAACTCATTTTGGGCAATATGGAGGCAATTGGTGGCCCTTTTGCCCCTCAAAAATCAAGATGGCCTCCAAACACCATTTTGAAATTAGGCATAATTCACCAATTTTGAAACTATTGCACCTTCATAAGCGTGTGATACATCGTTTCTTATTATTTTCGGGTGCAGAATATATTTTATATATTATTTGTTTCATAAAATGTGAGTAAAAACTATTATAAGCCTACAAAATCAATATAAGCCTTAGTCGTCACATGGGCTTACTAAATAACGGTTTTGCTGTGACAACTAAACACTGGCAACTCATTCCCTTCATAATGATGGGGAGAGTGCCATCAGAGAGCATTTTTCTAGACCCTATGAGAACCTTTGAGTTTTAGATGGTTACTATATATGTCACATATATACTGAATAGATTACTGAGTGTCATAAAACACGATTTAAATCCTTGTTGTTATTTATAAGTGGGAAAAGTAGGGAAAACCAAAGAAAAATAATTCGAAAAAATCCTTGTTAAATGTCAAGTCTGTATGTATGTCATACAGAAAAGAATTGGCTTTGCCCTTCAAATATTAACATTAACGATTGCTTTATTAAAAGTGAATGAGTATAGACCTTAGAACAAAAAAAAAAAAAAAAAAAAAAAAATAGAAAATAAAAAAATGATCGGCATAATAGAGTTTGAAACACCATACTGGCTTAAGATATAATGTAGTATCTTCTAGTTTTTAACTTATATCTATCATCTTTTTCTATGTCTAAATACATCTTATTTATCCAAATATTTTCCTCAGACTTCCAATGTAGTATACATGTATGCTCCTTACCTAAAAATTCGACATCATTTAATTTTAAAGAGCCGCCAACCGGGGTATCCCTACCTGAGGATTCATCTGTCTCCGACTTCAAATTGGAGTCAAAGTAGGTTTCCTTTATCTCGATCGATACAAACTCTAATCCCGCCTCCAAAACTTTGGAGTTTTCATACAAAAATGGTGCTTTGAATTCCTCTTCGGAACGACTGTAAAATGCCATGTTTGTATTCACAAATTCTTCCTGCAAAAAATTCACAACTAGATTTACACTTAGTAACATAACATATCGATTATATTTTGGAAAGGAATTGGATCCAGGATTATTTTAAGAAAGCGGGGTGGGGGTCGGCTTCGCTTCCGCCCCCCACCCCCCACCCCCACCCCGCTTTCTTAAAATAATCCTGGATCCGCCCCTGTTCATGCATAAACTAAGCTTGGTCCGATTAAAATTTAAAATAAAAAACTTACCTTGGTTATCCGCCTCGCTGCTACAAATGACAGCCATAAGTCCCTTAGGTACGGGATGACTTTAACTTTGTAATGCCCTGTACTGATGGAGAACATTCCTTCTTTTGTAGCCAAAGAAACTATGATGATGTGGGCACCTTAGATATAATATCAAATAAAACAAGAGTGAGTGGAAAGAAGTTTAAATGCCCAATAAACTTAGTGTATTCTTTACGGCATTTCTGCAGCAAATTTAATTTCCCACCTTAAAAAATCTACTCGCCAATTACCTCTCGAACCCATCCCTGCGAGCCGACACAATGCGTTATTAAAATTTCAAAACTCAGAACTTCACATGTCACCTAAACGTTGTAATATTTCTGTACTATTTATCAAATGATTTTAAGTGTGAATTAACATTTCATTGGGTAGTGTTTCAATTTTTCAGCTTCAGGTACGTTGCTCTATTTGGTTGTACAAATAGTGGAACAAAAATAAACAGAGGAAAAATTTAATAATTAATTTTAAAAAATTCAATTTTAGTACTTGGTTATTAGGTACCTATTTTTAGTTCTGTAGCCCGGTTTATGAGAATTGTCTCCCAGTCCTCAGCGGCCTGTCTTTTATATGCATCTAGCTCTTCATAACTGACTTTGTCACCTTGACCAAGTATATCCAATTCAAGATTGCAAGGCCTGTAATGTAATGAAGCAATGAACAATTAATATCAACATAGTATAGAAAATATTGATAACATTTAATACTTTGCATTATATTACAACGTAATGTCGTTGTTTTTATACGCATTTGTAATATGGCATCCCATAATGGTTTTTGGTCATAAACACACTTACCTTTTGCTCAACCAATGCATAGCAATGCAGGATACAGCCAAGTCCACGTAATTCGGCGGCAGACAGGGTTTATAGAAATTGGTACCACTGGCCAAGAGAAACACGTTTTTATCTTGTGGAAGAAAAGTTTCTTGATCCTCAAATAAACCTTAAAATGAAAAGATTACATTAATTAACACAAAGATGAAACGAAAACAATAAACATGATTTTCACGGAAACAACATCTAAAATTACAAGTTAACAGACAAGTTCTATTTCGTACCTTGTGTCAGACAAAATAATGACTTGAAATCGTTCCAGGAATAATCCTCGTACACTATCACCAAAGTTTTTTCTCTCCCATATTTTATTCGCACCGCGCCTGAAGAAAAAAAAACCGTTGTACTTGTGACCTAGCTGTGACCTAAGGTAAGTTTATTGCCCTTCTGTCTTTGATTGGGATTGGTAGATACATGTCGTGATATCTAATTAATACTTTAAGCAAGACCACTCTTTATTTACGAGATATGAGTAATTAATGACAGAAAAAGTATATAAATAGCAAAATGATTTTAGAAAAAGGAAACAACTATTATTACAAGAATAAAGCACTGTATGTAACTGAGTTTTATGCACTCCAGCCAGAATGCCCCTGAGTTTGCAAAGGGGGGGGGGGGTTGATCCATGCTCTAACTTTAAGATTATTCTTAATTTAAAAAGTGTTAATTAGTTGTTTATAAAGAAAGTATATTTTGTTCGTGTAAAATGTGTGGTTTGTCATTCTCTTTTGTTTTAGAAGGTACTTATGATCTCAGTCATCAGTTTCATAGATGTTCCTCCATCTCCAGCTCCGTAGTCACACACAACAAAGGGACCCTCTTTGCTTTCCACAGTTCTATTTCCTAAGAAGAAGCAATATCCTAACATAACAGTGTTGTTATTATTTCGCAACGATTATTGTTTTAGATTGAACAAAAGCTAACTATTATTTCTAAATCTAAATTTTAAATCTAAATCACAGTTAATCACTTCTAAATAACGTTAAACGACAGTGAAAGTCAACAAATGCAAACAATTACACTAACAAAAATGTACTTTTAACCAGTTTCAGTCTAAGATATACCTTTTGGTAATTCTGCTATGGGGGTGTCAAAAGAATTGCACCATCTGTGTGAACAGACACGTTCGTAAAAATGTTTCGTGTTTTATTGCTCGCGTGACCAGTGATGTGTTTTCATCCATATATGCACTAAATATGTGTCACCGAAAGTGTCAAGTCCTTCTGGCTGTCAAGTTGCTACCATGGTGAAGGTACGGGAGCTCACATATGAGAATATAAAAGAAATTGCTTCTCTGAGGAAGCCCCCGATATAGCCACCAGATAATTGCGTACTGGGTATCTCGTCAGACTGTATATTAAATTTGCAAAAGGATGAAGGACACTAGTGATGCCCATAGGTTACCAAGAAGTTGCGGCCAGAAGAAGACCAGTGGCACAGAAGACAGGAATCTTTTCATGCTGTTAAGAATCAAGGGATTTGAACCGGTGTGACAGGAATGAAAGACCGCTAGGAACCGTAGTCCAACCCTCCCCCTTTACTGGGTAGGTTAAATAAGTTTCTCTCACTAACCAGATGCTTCGACTAACCCTGACCTGTAATTATCATATAGGTTCCGGACTTCCATTCTTAGGACTACCACTCCTCTCACACCGGGCAGCGAATAAGCTTTGGAGGGGTCGTGCAATTTGCCGGTTGACATCAGAAAAAAACTGTTCAAAGAAAGCCCCATGCTACAGGAATTCACAGCAGGGTTGCCAGAAGGAAACCACTTGATAGACAGGAAGAGTGCCATGGGCTGCAAAGACCATTGCATGGACCGTAGGTCAGTACTGGCGCCTTTTTGTTGTATTTTCTGCTGAGTCTAGCAGAATTATAGAGAACATCAGCCGCTTCTTTTCTGCCAGAGAATATACATTCCCTCACTAGAGAATCCACCTCAATAATGGTTTGGGGGCACATTGGTCTCTGGGAAATTGATGAACTGGTGTTGATAAATGAAAACCTGAAGCGTGAGCGTTTCATTGAAATTATTCACCAGCATCTTTTATCATCGACAGAAAACATCTGTGGGACAGAAATTATGCGTTCATTTATCCAGAAGATAACGCTTCAACCCACAGGACCAGAGCTATACAAGGATGACTTTACCTGCATGAAATAGGACCCCCTTGAAAACTTGTGAAATGAGAGTTGAAATCAAGTGGCAAAGAATTGCCCCTTTATCAGAAACGCTCTAATCCAAATTATCTTTAGAGCCTGGGCCGCCACATTCTTCAGAACATTACTAAACCTTTGGCAGCCTATGCCTGGAAAGGTGGCGTCCATGTTGAGATCACGTGGCTAAATGTAGGCTACGAAATATTAATACTGTCATAATAGCGTGCGATTTGTAAGCGCAAAGTACTGTAAACCTGTAGTAAATATACTAACTTGACATAACCAGTTTTCAATAAAATGGTAATTGAAAACCCTAATGTCCAGCTGTTGTTCACCATGATCAAGATGGCCCAGTACCTTTGTCACCCCCTGCAGTTAAATGTGACTATGTGATAAGATTAAAAACCTAAAGACAATAGCCATAAGTATCCCTTTACCGATTGCCCGGAGTACATAAGGCAACATGTCATTATATAGCTTTTCGTAGTTCACCGCATTTTCACTCCAAAAATGTGAACCATGATATCTGTCCAACAGTCTGTACACAGGAAATTTCGTTTCACGGGTTTGGTCGCATGAACCTTTAAAAATGAATGATCAAAAATGTTCATTAGCTTGGTTGTTGGATAAATATGAAAATTCTCAGACACAAGCCTAAAGTCAGTGAGTGTGAACAACTACTCACGTCAGTCTGATGAAGGCCTTCGACCAGGTTGGCCGTAAGCTAGCGGTACGGAAAATTTTAGGCTTGTGTCTGAGAATTTTCATATTTAAAAATGAATGATGTTTTTAAAAAAAGCACAGTGCTTGTTCTTATTCGTCTGTGCTCGTACTGTAGCACAATTACATGTTTACATTATGCTTAACCCTTTTTTTGTACAATATACAATTATTGACTTTGGCCTTGGACCTAAATATTTAGGTCCAAGCTTTGGCTGAGGTGTTGTTTAGCATGCTGACCATGGAAAACTGATGTCGACCTAGTAAACTAATGTCGACCTCACTCTGTCGTATTCATCGTATAGTGCGCTCGCATCTGTGCTCTATTTGTACAGTATAGTATAATATAATAGTATGATGTAATAGCAAATTTTCAGATAAATAGTACATGTAATCTTCAATTGTGAGATTTTATATCCTTGAAAGTCTCGTACCTGTTGCATACGGATCACCATGCAAATCCATAAAGTTTTGTCAGGAGAATAATATCTTATGATAAAAAATCTTAATAATATCTTATGCTGATAAATACGTTTGATCAATCAAAATATAAGAATCTGTCTCTGAGGAGTGACATACCTTTTAAATGTATTGTGACCGGTGGATCCACTTTGTTTCCATCCATTTGTACTTGTTTTGCTTTTTTATGAGCCACGGAAATATTGTACCGCGTCTTGTATTGCGTGTCAGCGGGGCAAGATAATGGACATACGGGTAAAGAAAGGGTTCAAATTGCGGACAATGAGAAAACACAGTTATATACAAAACCCAACCACACCTTCAGCATAAGTGGCATTCATACATCAATTGGCATGAAAGAGCATGAACAAATAACCGTATTCGGTTTGTCAGCTCATGCATGACCTTATGGTGGACGCTGGTCAAACCCAAAAACCCAATGAAAACCTATAAGGATTGGTGATATTGAGGTTAGGGACCATTCCCACAGAGATTTGGACCGTTCTATCTCCCTGGGGAGTCTCACTAAATTGCTGCCAGCTTAACCGGCTTACATATCTGTCCCGCCTACTAAAAGCTGTTAGGGGATAATTAACTTTCGTTTTAAAAGAAACTAAAAAATTCGGTCTTAAACTGGTAATTATTAAACTAACCATTGACTTAGTTTTAACAATGGTCTATATCTCTGTTGCGCGCAAAGGATTGTGGTCTATATGAGGGTCCAACTTGCCCCTAGCCAAGAGGGCCAACTAGTCCCAGGTGCACAGTTTTAGATTTAAAGGTACATACGAATCGAGCATCGGTGACTTCTTTTCTGCCCCATTGACATACGACATAGAATGCTAGCAAAAATAATCCGTTCAAACCTTATTTTTGGGTAAAATTAAACAATGCATTTTGGAAATTCTCTTAGTTATACTACTTGAAACTATATGCTGGCATTTGGTTGGTTTTTGTGACAAAAAATTGAGTTTGTATGCATCTTTAAAGATTGCAGCCATTTATTGAGCAAGAATGGCTTACGTTAATAAATTTTCGTAAAATTTCAAACAATAAACTTTAATCTGATGCCCTATACGTATACTTTGTTTCATCAAAAGCCTATGAAAATAGATTTTTAAATCTCTTAAACAAAATTTCTTTTAGGTGCAAAAATCGTTTATTTGGGCTCACCGCTTCAGTAAAACTTTTTAACGTCCGACACTTCCTTAGCATTGTAGGATACGGCCACTTAACAAGAGTATGTGGCCAATTTTTTACCTCGTAGTTACTTTTCATAAATTGACGGGGGGGGAGGGGGGGCGACTTACCCCGGTCACCAGTTTCTAGCAAGACAAAAGCATTTAAATGTGTAACGACTCTATTGGAGTCTGCAGAGGTAGATTGGGAAATGGAAGTAAAGGAAGCTATTTCATTAAAAACTGGATCCAAGACTACATCTTAGCGACAGACAATAAATCCCAACTTGACAGGTCATAGTGTTTACAAGCAAACTACTGATATTCCGGAGTATAAGAGGCTAACTTTCACACGTCTACGCAAAATAGCACACACACCTTGAAAACGGGTAGTGTGGTCCGATATACTCGTTAATTCAGGATCCTTATGTGCCGAGTCTGGAAGTTAGGTAGGCCTGAAAAAGATATCTTATGAGGTCATAAGATGTAAATTGTTGTGGTCCAATAGTTCTTGAGTAATGTGGCGGCCTCTTTGTATAACGCAGAGGTAAAGAAATTAATTATAGAATTATAATAAACGGTCAGAATTGATATCCTGGGGGAAGAAAAAGGAAAAAGGAGGAGGAGGAGGAGAGTGAGAGAGACGAAGCACGGAGACGGACTTAGTTTTGGAGAGTTAGGAGTTGGAGACTTCACTTAGCTATGTAGATACCGGGCGTCGACGATTAAATCGTTTCACTGGTCATTATGTGGACTTCGGTTTTCTGTGCACGACCTTACGAAAATCTGACACGAACCGTGGAATCTTTAGATTGCGTTATCCCCTAAGTAAGTCAATAAACCTATTTCGACCCCACGTTTAAATTAAGCGAAGAAAATTATATAATTGTAGGACATTCATTCCATATGTGTGAAAAGGTTCATTACATACCTTCGCCGATGTTTGGAAAAAGTTGGACGTATATAAAATTATAGCAGCATGATATGTTTTGCAGTTACACCAATTACAGTTGCACTGACATATTAGGAAAGAGGCTTTCGGTAGCGGAGATTTATATTACAGCAAAAGTACAGGGCTGTCTTCTAAAATGCAAAATATGGATGAAGAGAAACATCAAAGAACCCTGCAGTACGAAAATGCCCCAGCAGGGCATCATTCACGAAGAGATGGACAAAACTGCCCCATTATTCGTCCAATAAGAAGAAGAGAAGAAGAAGATTCATGGTGAAGAGCATCTCTTTTATTGAAGCTTGCCTCTGAAGGAATTTACACAGTATAACATCTAGGAAATATATGTTTAGTGTTTAAAATAACGTATTCCAATACTAACCTAATATTTTCTGAAATTCGCCAATTCTCTCGGGGTAGTATTAGTACTATTATAGATTTCCAATTAAAAGGCGAGACTTTCACAAAAAATCTTTTTTAATTTTCAAGATTACACTCCATATAAAGTATACGCACGAGGTACTTCAAAAGCATTATGTATATATTACTGACCTATCCTTTTTGTTAATATATTACCGAGATTATTTATATTCTTTTACCAGATCCAATTATATATTATTTGTTTCAATAAAAGTATATAGGGGAAATTAAATCAGTTATGTCTCATGATTCGTCATTTTCGTATCCACCATTACGCAGTGTATACATCTCAAGCTAAGCGCACACATGCTATATAAACTGCACACACATATCACTATGCAGTTGGCCTCCTCACTATTTGCCCCCCTTCATTTTATTGGTTTTGATTTGACAATATCTATATATGCAACAACCAAGTCATAACCGAAATCCTGTGGATTGCGAGTAACATCCTCTTCAAACTGGCCAAAGAAATCGTTCACAATGGCTACCTTTTCTTTTTGTGATCTGCACCCATTCAGCCCGGACATAAAGATTGCTTCGCTCCAAGCACGGAATACATTGACATATCTTCTTGCTTTGTAGACCAAGCCAAGTTGTTCATCATCTGTGGTTAAGATATAAAGATTAAATGCAAGCTATTCTTTGCTTAAATGGATTTTCTACAGTATATTGTTTAAAACAGACTTGACATTTAATATGGAACATTTCAGTTTTAAGAGGTATGATTGTTGAGGATAAAACTGTTGTTAAAAAAGAATATGAATATGAATATCATATGAAATACATGGATAGAAAAAACGTGTAGTCAGGTGAGCCAATACCAATAAATTGACTACCTTGTCTGAAGCACTCCTGCATTACATAATATGTCATCATTTTATTGGGTAGTAGTCTTTGGGGTGGTCCTAGCACGACTATAAGACAGTATAGTTCTGTTAAAAAAGTAATACTTTTGCTCTGGGCCAGAATGGCGCGAAACAGACAGACATTACTAACCAGAATTATTATGTCACAAAAAACGACCGGTGTGACAAGAATGGTAGTCCGCTAGGAACAGTGGTCCATTCCCAATTACTTTGAACAGGTGATATTCGATCTCCTTATATACTATATTACCCCAGTACTCCGGCTAACTAGACTCCTATCTAGACTCTAATCACACACACCCCCTCCCCAGGACTTCAATTAATAGGACTGCCATTCCTGTCACACCGGCGTGGCAAGAGTGCACGTCCTAGTAACGCAAGTCTGCCCTGACACTAAGTCCTGGGAATGAAAGTCCTAGGACATACATTGCTTGGAATGGAAGTCCTAGGGTATACGTTACTAGGATTCAATGTCCGTAGGACGAAGGCTCCCAAGTACTGTAAGTCCTATGTGTAGTAATGCACGTCCTAATGGGACGTGCGATCCTAACAGTTTAGTAACGCACGCCTATATAGTTCAGATATATACTGGTTTTAAGATATAATTAACGTTTGCTTTCTTTCATTTTTAAAAAAATATTTTACGTTTTTATTTTCCGATAGGCAGTTTATATGCATATTAATGAAGTAACAAAAACAACACGGTTCCCCTTATTTTTCCTTCATTTACTTTGGGTAGGCCTATTTTTCTTGTAGTAAACGCATATTTTACACGTGTCATTGACCTTCTTAGGTCTTCAGATGAGGGGAAAATCACTTTACACAATTACAAAACACCGGATCTCCGTTCTTAGATTAATTTTTCGCTTCACACTCGCAGAAATTGAAAAATAACCCAAAAGAAATTTGCTCTTTGATAGAGGATTAAAGTCAAATCAAGACAGTTTAGAATATGAAATTATATATAATGTTAGGTAACATTCCTTTGGTATTTTGGCGCTTTGAGGTTTTAAAAACCAAACGAAAAACTAGTTGTAAGTGTAATCACAGAATTTAGAATACTGTACATTAACAACAGCGATATACGGTTAGCTACAACAAGTTATCCGAGGTGGGGATGGGAGGGGGTAAGATCATGTCAAAGGTAGGTCTCGAACCCAATTTGTAAGAGTGCGACTTATAAACACTTACCTTATGGTCTTTCACGATAACCACTACACAAACGAGCTGAAATTACAAGCCCTCCATTTTTGTCTAATATATGGCTCAACGAAAGGATTTTCATATACATTTATAATTGTATCATTTAACCGTATTATTGCATGAGGATAGGACTTTCAAATGGCCGGACTTTCATTACTGTCATAGGTGTAACAGGAATAAAAGTCCGCCAGTAATACAAGTCCTACCTATTATTATAATAATGAGCCAGGAACCCAAGTTCCTGTAGGACTACTATTGCCAAGTAATGGTAGTCCTACGGGCAACCATTATCAGGAACCGAGGTCTTACGTCTGGGGTGCCATTTGAGCACCCCAGACGTAGGACCTCGGTTTCTGGGGGACTTGGATTACTGTTACACCGGCGCAGTCTTACAAAGGTCTACCTACATGTAGACTAGTGTCTCTACACAGAGGCCAACTTAACACCAGGAAACAGGATCCAATGTCCTTACTGTTTTGCTGCTACACGTAAAACTTAACTCGGGCAAACTATTCCCCTCAGGATTGCCATCAGAAAGCAATTTCAAGGCCATTTGAGCACCCCAGACCAGTTTTAGCTGG